AACCTTGCTACTGCCAGGAGCTATTGTGCTGCCATATGCAAAGAGCCTGCCTAAGAATGAAGACCTCGTCCAGCGACAGTGAGTGCAAAAAAGGGTCAATGACACCCCTCGAACCCTTGGATCTAATTGTGCCTAAGACACAACCTCGGGCTTCTCAGGTCCATGAAGCAATAAATTCATCTTGTCACTTAACATGGTGTAAGCAGGATTCTGCCATTTGCCACTGAATAGGGATGCAGTGGGCATGATGTGGAATCTCAGTGCTGGTTCTCTCACTTTTCCTCCTTAAAATGACCACTGCTTGTTAACCCATCAACAGTTGGCAACATGTCAACGTTGGCATTCCAGTCACCCCCATTTCCTCGCCACCCTTCATATTTCACATTTGGTCCAGCCTGTAGGCCAGGCAATACCATTCTCTCTACCTGGATGCAGAATTATTCATATGTCTTTCCAAAGGGCCTCACTTTAAACAAACTTTCTCTTAGTCCTTTACTCTACAAATGACTGCCCATTTGCTACTGGTGGCAAAGACTGTAGCAAGAATTAAGAGCCTACAGGCCAGGCAGATTGCCTTTTAGTATCCTATTCTAAAAGTCAGTGAATATTGCCCTTTGAGAAAAGGACTATTGTTTCCCATTCAATTGAATTTTACACTCAAAATAACTCATAGAATTTCTCTCATTCCTTCCTCATAGTGTTGTTAAGAGTTGGGTAAGAAAGCAATTACTACACCCATCAGACAGATAAGAAAACTGAGGCCCAAAGAGGTGTAGCAATTTGACTCAATAGCAATTATCAAATAAATACTGGAATTGGAATTCTTTCTCCCTCGGCCCAGCTTGAGAGGCACCGACATGTTCTAATTTGGCAGGTCCCAATTATAAGTATCCATTCCCCAACTCCCTACCGTACCCAACACCTGTTCAATTTGGCCAATTAAGCCCCATCAGATTAGGTTACAAGATAAAACATAGTCTGCCCAGGTAAATTTTGAATCTCAGATGATTTTTTAGTATAACCATGACTCAAATATTGCCTGGGACATACTCATACTAAAAAATTATAAAAAATTATCCATTGTTTATCTGAACAATGGATTATTATTGTCTATTCAAATTTAACTGTGCATCCTATAGTTTTATTTGCTAAACGTGACAATGCTACATCAAATGTTCTTCCAGTAGATCAGAACAGCGGTACAATTTGTAATTTCTTTGGAAAGTCAGGTTTTCTTGCCTGGCTCCTACCATAGTACCACTATTCAATGCAGAGCATGACTCTCTAATGTTTGATAGTAGTGTAGGGTTTGGTGTCCTTTGATATTATGGCCAGGATCCAGGAACTCTTCAAGCTTACCCTAGTATGCATCCCTCTTTACAAGAGCTTTCTGGAGGGTCTGTTTGCACAAGAAACAGTAGCAAAATGGGACTCAAAACGCTATTTTACCGTAGGCAGAGCGTGGCCTTCCCCATTAGGAAATAATGGCCCATTGATCTTAGATTCCCTTTAATTTCAGTCAGATTAACAGTCTGTTTGCCTTTGGGATAGTGGCAAGGGCCCGGAGCGGGCCAGGCAGCGGAAGCTGGAGTATGGGGAGAGAGCATGGCTGAGTGTTAGCCTTTGATGAGGTCTCCAGTCCAGACTGAAGGAACTTGGTCAGTAGTCTCTTCTGGAAAACGGAACTGAGAACATGTAAATTTGGAAGCTATGGGGTAAACCAAAGTGGATCCCACAATCAGGGAGGAAAACGCCTGGCTGCAAAGGGAGAAGAAGAAGGAGGCTGGTATCCCAGAGAGGAGCAGAAAAGAGGCTACTCGGCCCTCTCGTATTCCGCTTCTCCACTTCTTGGTTCCTGCTACATTGAAAGTTGCATGCCATCTTCCGAGAACTTTGAATAATTTCCCCATTGTGTTTAAGCTAGCTTGGGTAGTCTCTGTTACTTATACTCATTCCGTCACTTACTTGACTAAGAAAAACCACCAAATAAAGAAGCAAGGTCTCTGTTCAGTTCAGTTCATTGCAATTTATTTAATTTAAAAATAAAAACAGAAACAAAAAACAAAATGAAAACAAAAATCAGTTTCCAATGAAAATACAAACACTTTGGGTGGTTATCCAGCTTTTTTTTTTTTCCCTGTAGGCTGTTCTGGGCTCAAACCAATCAAATGAGCAAAAACCAATTTTGACTGGAGCCATAAAACATGTTGCACCAATTAAATTACACCAATATATTATTATAATACCTTTGAAATGCCTTTCAGACCAATAAATAAAAAAAGACAAATTCAAATAAAAAAGTCAACTTTGTATTACCAAAAACAAAAAATAGAAATTAAATAAAAGTCACAACACGGATTTAAAAAAAAAAAAACAAAAAACAATGTGCAGTCAAGTTTCTCTTTTTTTTTTTTTTTTTTTGTCTTCTAGGAATGATACCATGCCAGTAAATCCCTACAGAACATTTCCAGTTTGGCAACAAGCAGTCAGTCGATCATTCACATTTGTACTCAAGACAGCAGGCCTGGGCAAAACTTGCCTGAATTTCACCCTGAAAAGTGCCCCCTCATCATCTGAAGAAGCAGCACCTGGTAACAGGGATGGAAATTCAGAGGGTACTTAGCATTTTCATTTCGCCTGGGTTCTTGAAGCACTTCCTGAAAACTGATCGTGCCTTGAAATTTACCTGTAAAAAGAAGTATAATTCTACCCCTTTGGCAGATGTGTAAACTAAGACGCAGACAGGCCCACCGAAGCAAGGAGGAGGACCAGCTGACATCGAATCTCCTGCTTTGTCCCCTGGGCCATACAAGTGTCTCTCACTTGTAATTCCATGGAAGCAGATAACTGGGATTGGCTGGTAGGGATGATAGGACTTAATTATGAAGCAGGGGAGCTGCTTTCAGGGCTTTTGCCTCTATTGCAAGTTTTTCCTTGAAAGGACAGTCAACATCATATCTAGAATCAGAGGATGTCAGCAGAGTGTCAGAACTGAGCAGGGCCTAAGAGACCAGCTAATCCACCCCTCTATGCCTCACTGATGGCTCCCAAAACAAGGCAGGTGCCAAAGGCCACCTGGGACTTAACTCAGTCTCTGCCTCCGAGTGGAGGACTTTCACTGCCACAATCCACTGTCTAAGTTAATTGACAAAAGAGAACATACAAGTGTTTGGGGGCAGGGAGAAGGGAGTAGAATGATTTTCCTTAATAGTATCACGTTTTCCTAACAATTAGAATAATGGAAAATACTAAACAGACTCAGTCACTGGCAAAAGGAAAGAACACATCGACCAGTAGGCAGGTGTTGGACCTAAGTCGGACTGACAGCTACTGGCGTGGCCAGCTGCCACACGTGAGGGCCAGCAGCGTGGCAGCATAGGCTGTTCAGGAAAGAGTGCATAAAATGAGGCAAGGAGCAGGGGGCTCAGAGGTTGCAGGCTGCCCTCCATGCACCCACACCCCTTACACGCAGTTTGCTATCTACAGATTTTATTTTATTTTTTTCCCTTTTAACCTCTAGTGGAGTTCAGGAAGGAGGTGGAATTGAATGAAAGGAAGCTGAGCAGCTTCCCATAATACACTGCTCAGCTCAACCTGAAGGAATGCACAAGCCAAAACACCAGTGCTGGTGTCAAGGGCAGAAACAGAACTGTCTCCTGAAGGAAAGGGCAATGTCATTCAATGAACATTCTTAGTGCTGCAAGGTGAATCCTTTCTCATCTCCCTATGAACTACTGTTGGTTGGTTTTTCCAAAGGTAACACCAAGACCATTCCTCCTATCTATGTGACTCTCAGAGGTTGCCACTTTGAAATAAGCATTCCAATGTGCCTAGGCCATTGGAATCTGAACCATCCCAACGAGACCAGTGATTCCAAGCCAGTCTCCTGAAGGCGTCCCACTGTGGGGGTGACATCTTGTCACCTATAATCTGGGTATTTAGAAACTACATACCTAGTTTTTTAACTTAAGATAAGAGTCCTGCCACACCTCTTTTCTGCCTCCTCCAGAACCATCTGGATGACTTCTAAGGAAATATTCCCTCTCTCATATGCTTCATCCCAACCCACTCTTCTCTTTCCACACCTTATTCATTTAAATGAATGGGACCTTCCTTTTCCCCAAAGCCCAGGAGTTCATGTCAAAGTTCAAACCCATGACATAGAATCCTGGATTAGGGGAGAGGGGGAGCACCTTCTCTTTGACTTCCCTTTCCTCATCCTAATATCCCGCCACACACTAACTGCCTAGGAACAAACCTGTCCACCTTTGAGGATTCTACACTAGGTGGACAGGGAAACCATTTGCTATTAGTGAACAGGGCCAATGGTTGAGCTAGGTAATCCTTTGGAGACTGTGGACAGTGTCATATCCAATCCAAAGCAATTTATGCAGGTGAGAACCCAAGAGGAAGCATTCCAGTTACTATTGAGACACTAAAGACATCAACTTCCATTCATCTGTGCAAAGACCACAGAGGGTCTTGTGGTCTATTATACACAATAGTTTTGACCTCTGACACCATCATCTCCTCCCCATCCACCCTGGAGAGGTTGTGACAAAGAGCAAGGCAGTCATCAGGAAAGAGAAGACAAACAGCAAGGAGCTGAAAAATCACCATGGCTGACTCTATGTCCTTAGCAGATTTCAGAGCATTCTCTCTCTGACCAGTGCCCTGTCTTCCATTCAAGGTGGAGTAACAAATTAACAAATGCCTCACCAGTGGCATGAAAGAGTTAACACAGATCCCACAGGATGCTTTAACCTATTTCCCAGGGCTTAGCCAGGTCAAGGATGACAAGTACATGGCTACTGCCTCCCTTCCCGTTCCCATGGCAGCCATTGCTAGTCAATCACAGCACTCCTTCCCAAGATCCCTGGGCTACTCAAACTAGTACAACCGGCAGCCACTATCAATCAATCATTGATTCAAGCTCAGGTTGCTGAAATCTCCTTGTCAGCCCATGTAGTCAGACCGAGGTTGTTAACAATGAGGAGAAAAGGAGCAAGCTCTTTGGGCAAACCCAAAGCAGATGGCCCCAGTGTCTCCTGCCCCTCCTCCAGAAGTGTCTAGGGAAATGCTCTCTCTCCCATATGCTTCCTCACCACCAAGTGCTGGTCAACACCACCTTCCCTGGACGGCTGGTCCTCTAGGAGGTGCCATAAGGCAAATGCCAATTAGGATCCAAATTCTGACTGGCAGTGGGTTGAACTGGCAGAGAGCCCACTTCTCCCTTTTAGGCACCGGCTCAAGGCTGCAAGCGAGATGGTGCCAATCCTTTTTCAGTCTATTATCATGGTCAGCAAAGAGGTCACCAGCCCGTGAGCCCCAGTCTTGTTCCCCTTCCTCCCTCGTACCCCCCGCTGCCCCCGCGCCCTGGCACGCTAGTTGAGCTTGCTGCAGATCTCCAGCGCTTGCTTGTAGACCTGAGTCACGTCGTCCATGTCCGTGAGGAGGGAGAAGCTGCTGTCTGCCAGCCGGTTCCGGTACCGCTTCAGGTACTGGGGCCGGGGCCGGTTCTGGAGCCCCTCAAAGTCCTGGATCTGGAGGAAGTTTTCGGCGGAGACGCAGCTGCGGATGCGCTGGCGGGCAGGACGGTTCTCCTGCATATCCAGCAAGTCAAAAGAGTCGCTGGACAGGACGCTGTCGTCGCTGATGACGCTGGAAGGACGGCTGTAGCTCCGGGAGAGGCCCTCGGCGGGGACGCCGGGCTCCGACAAGGATTCCAGTGTGGGCATTTCAGGGCTGACGAGGGCCGGGTCCGTGGCTCCCACCGAGTACTTGCTGCTGTGTTTCAGGATGCCCTTCCTCCGGCAGGAGAGGCTGTGGGAAGCCACCCTGGCTGGGTCCGGGGGGCTGGGAGAAGGGAGGCCGCTGCCCATCACGTCGTTACCGTCCAACAGTTCTGAGGACTCGCTGCGCTCCGGGGACGAGTAGTAACCCGATTCTCTCTGCTGGGTCTTTTTCAAGATGCCCTTCTTGGGCATTGTGGCCGACTGTTTGGGGCTGAGTTTCCCCGGCACCTCTGCCTCAGGGGAGCTTGGGAGGGGAACGCCAGTCCGGCACAAGTCCTGCTCCAGCTTGAAAGCAGAGGGTAAGGCAGGCCCGACGACACCTTCGATGAAGCCGGTGCTGTGAGAGCGATGCTCGCTGTTGCTTCGCTTCTTCAGGATGCCCTTGGGCCTCTTGGAGCTCACCTTGGATGGGCTTTCGGGCACCGAGTCCTGGGCGGACTGGGCAAAGTCGTTCTCCTTCTTGGACTTCTTCAGCGACCGCTGCCGCTCCAGCATGACCTCAGAGGCCCCGGGTTTGGCCAGGCCCTTAATTTTGGCTTCGGCGTCAGCCTGCAGCCCCGTGGAACGGTGGTGCCAGTCGATGATCCGAGCCAGGAGCGGGGACTCGGAGTCGTGGAGGGCGTCGCAGTCACAGACACTGCTCTTGTAGCCCCAGTTCACCCACCAGTGGTTGGCAATGTCCTCGACGGTGGCCCGGCGATCAGGGTTCACCATCAGCATCCACCGAATGAGTCCTCGAGCATCTGGGGGACGAGAGACAAAAAGAATCAGGCATTCGTGCTGTGGGGGCTTTCGGCTTTGTGACGGGGGTGAGCCTCCAGATGTGGCTAAAGGAACACACTCTCTTTAGGAAACATCCATTTGGAGCTCTGGTCTGGCCACACTAAGCAGCAGGAAGCCAACACCTTTCAGAGTGGACATTCAGGACTGGGAACCACAGGCCCGTGCACCATCTCCTCTCCTGGCATGTTTTCCCACGTGAGTGGAGGAATGTCATGGAGCTACTGAGCTTTCTATCATCTTGAATCTTTATAAAATGTGGAAGGCCCGGTAACCAAGAAAGAACCCAGACCCAACTCCAAGCACCGTCACACCAGCTCCTTTGGTGGATATCATTTTACCAAAAGGGAAAACAGGTGTAGATCACCATGGCTCTCTTTATTCCTCCAAAGGTAGGCTTGTACGAACACGCAGTGCTTGAGGTCCCTGGGAAAGCGTGTCTGAAGACAGAGGATGAAGTGGAGACACTTACCTGACACACCTGGGCAGTGAGAGCAGCTGTCTCCAAAGCCGGCCTCACGCCAAGGTCCTTGCCAGGCTCTGAGACCCACACCCAGTGAGCTCACCTCCTCTCCTCTCTGACATAAGCTGGATCTTACTGAGCTGTCAGATCAGAGAGCTGATCTCTATCTGCCACCTCTTCACAGCCTGTCTGAAAAATTCCACTTGCAAATTTCTGCTTCCTGAGAATTAGGGGAAAGCCCCAAAGAGATGTTGAGGAGGCGAGAGGAACCAAGTGACTTTCACAGCTTATAGACTGACTTTTAGGATCCAGTTGATCTTCCCCAACTGGGGTGAATTATATCCTGGGAAGCTGCCCCTCTGCTCAGCTGCTTATATAGGCTAATGAGTAGTTGGCAAAGGCCTGGCAATGGGGAACGGGGTGAGCTACACCCCTTAAAAATAACAAGATGATCATTCAGTCACTCGATAAATATTTCTTGAACCCCTACAATGTGCCAGGAATTGCACTGGCACCAGCTAGCTGGCAAGGCAAATAAAACCACTATAGAGGTCACCCGAAAATTTCCCAAAAAGAATATGCTGACTTATTGAAAAAATATATACAGATAGATACACATCTATATATGTATACATATACAACAGTTATCCTCATCCACGGATTCTATATTTGAAATTTGCCTAGTCATTAAAATATATTTGTAAGCCCAAAATCAATACTCTCAGCTCTGTTGCAGTCATTTTTGTCCATGCACAGAACAGCAAAAAATTTGAGTCACCCCAACAGGCACGTGTATTCACAGCTGAGGTCAAACAAAGCAACACTCTGCCTTCTTGTTCTCATACAATTATCAAATGTCCTTTTCTCAGTCTATTTAGTGCCATGTTTTTCACATTTTTGGACTTTTTTTGATGATTCCACTATTTAAAATGGTCCCCCCAAAGAGTGCTGAAGCACTGTCTAGTGTTCCTAAACACAAGAGGGCTGTCATGTGCCTTATGGAGAAGATGTGTGTGTTACGTCTAGCTGTGTTGAGGCATGAGCTACAGTGCTGTTGGCCATTGAGTTTGATGTTAATGAATCAACAATATATATTACATAAGGTGTCTTTCAACAGAAACACACATAAAACATTATATATTGATCAGTTGACAAACATACTGTGACCAGAGGCTCTAAGGAATCTAACCCTATATCTTCCCTAGGAGAAATGGTTCAGTATTCACTAATTCAGTATTTGCAGCAACTTTATAGAACAAAACTATAGCAAATAATGAGAATCGACTATGTATGTATGTATCTACACATATAGATAATATGTATATTATCTACAATATTATCTATAATGAAGTGCCTGTGTTAACTTCATTTGTTAACAAAAATGATCAAAGACGGCCACCTGTCCACACTCTCTGTCCAGGATAATACTCATCAAGAGATGGAGCTCGTGACCTTGGTTGCTCTGGACAATAGAATATGGCAGAAGTGACAGTATCTATCTTGCAAGCATAGACACGTTAAGAAAGCCTGGTGGCTTCTTCTCCTCCTTAGAGCCCTGAGCTGCCATGGAAGAAGTCCAGCCTCTGTCCTGGAAACAGAATTTGTGGGGAAGCACCTCGAAGAGGGCATGCCCACATAGAATAGCCCCAAGGTGTCCAACATCCAGCCCTCGCAGTGGCCTAGGTGCCATCTGATTGCAACTGCAGGAGGAATTTCAAGGAAGGCCAGAAAAGCCCTTCCCAACCCACAGAATCCAGAGATAAGATTTCATGGCTGTTTAAAACTCTGAGTTTGTTTGGGGGGATGAGATAGAGCTGCTACACAGCAGTAGATAATAAAGCAGAGGCTGGGAGCCATACCCCAGGCCAGGGGACAGAGTAGTGAAAGATGGAGCAGTCGCCACCCCCTTGGCACCTGCAGTCTAGGGAGGGGGGGGTTGTATGTCTACGTGGACTGGAAAGGACTTCATATAATACCTTTCCCAAAATTTTAATTTATGGTGGAGAAACTAAATCCAAAGAGATTAAGTGATGTGCCCAGGTTCACATGGCAGGCAAACTGGACTCCTAAAACACATCCTCTGAAAACTTCACTTGAGAAGGTTTGAGTAAAGCAGCCTAACAAGCCAGCTTCGCCAAGGATGACTTTTCTGGCAAGGACAAAGCATTTGAAAACCAGGAGATTCCTTACAGACATATTAAAACAAAAGCAGAAAGTGTGAGTGGTGTAAGCTGATCACTCTCCCCTCAACCTCTGACCCTCTGCAGGGCACGCACCTGAGGGCTGCGTGGGCTCCCGGTACTCTCCGCTGCTGATCTGCCGGATGAGGTTTTTGTGATCGAAACCATCGAAGGGCATCGTTCCATAAACGAGAGTGTAAAGCAACACGCCCAGGGCCCAGCTGTCCACCTGGAGCAGAGAGACAGGACACATAGGAGCTGGGAAGCAGATGTCGGGGGTGCCTTCCAAACCAGCTGCATCACAGCCTGTGAGCAGCCCCCAGGAACTGGGGCCCTGAAGCCCCCAGGAACTGAACGTAGCACCTGGTAGACAGATTGCCACCAATGACTGACACCTGATAGCCACGCAGGTGGGGCCTGCTACCAAAGCTGGCCTTTCCATTTTGAACAGAGGCCAAAAATCCCAGCCTATTAAAGAACTTTCTTAAATAGACTATCTTCTTTGATCCTCACTATAATTTTTGTGAAGCAGCTAGGGCCTAGATTATTTTCAGATCCATTTGGCAGATGAGAAAACTGGAAGCTAAATGGTTTCTCTAGAGGCCCTGCCCCAGCAATGGAGGTAAGACTGGGATATGGGGCTCTTCACTCCTAATCCACAAACCAATGCCCTCCTGTACTTTCTTCAAATCGATCAGGGGTTACAAACTTAAATCTTACAAGAACCAGGCAAACAACAGACATAAATACAGCAAGAAAGAATTTGGGGTCCAACATGGAGTGCTGTGGATGGAGACAAGCTGTGGAGTGCACTCGGCCGTCACAGGCAGCCAACCTCTCCTTGGCTAACTCCTGCCATGCAGCAATGTAGGCCCAGCACTGCTAGATTTGGTTTGGTTCTTTAAGAGAAGTCAGAGACCACACTTGTGTATGTGAAATCTCCCAATCATTAAATGTTTGTTCAATTTTTTTATAAAGACTTATGTGGCCAAATAAAGCAAGTTTGCTGGCCAGATCACAGGCTGCCAGCTTGGAACCTCAGAAACAGGCCATCAAAGATCAAAGAAGCATTCATTGCCTACAAGAAATTAATAGGGTTGAGTTTCTACAATTTTGTAAATCAAGGTCTATGCTCCTCCCTTTTATTCTTATTTTTAAAAAACTTTCTCCTCACTGTATTGACACAGGGTCTTGGCATCCTTCTCTGCATCCTCCAGCCCTGCCCCCAAACACTCTCAGACAGATAAATATTTGGAAGAAAACATTTCAACACACTGAGCAGCTGCTATTTAAGGATACTGAGTGGATGACTCTCTCTGTAAAGAGAAACATTTTTTTAAAAGAGAATAATCACTCACAACTCACTCATTTTCAAAAGAACATTTTCACATGCATATCTTACAGTGGCCCTGAAAACTTTAGGCATGTAGAGAAATACATTTCTCATAAATAAGAAGATACAATTAAAAAGTATTTCCTTAGTCAAATATACATATACTGTCAAAAAATATATGCAAAGAAGATATTCACTACAGAATCAGGGGTTTTGTCTGTTTTGATACAATAGGGGAAAACTGTCTAAATCTAAGGACATTATTGCATAAATTATGGTATATGCATCAATAAAACTTTGTCATCAAAAATCATGTTTTTACTATTAATAATAATAAATTTGGAAAATGTCATCATGTAGTTTTAAGTTAATAAAAGTTATACGTATGTATGTGACACACACATACATGTATGTACATCCTGCATTTCATTAACTTATCTCAATTACTTTTGAGTTGATCTCAATTATTTTTGAAATGCAGAGATCTACACTGGAAAAAGTCTAAAAGAAAAGTTACAAAAATATTAAGTGGCCGTCTCTCGTGGGAGGATTCCAGGTAACTTTATTTTCTCCTTTAGGCTTTTCTGGATTTTCCAAATTTATATATTATTGCTTTTCTAGCATATAAGGAAAAGTTTTCTTTGCTTGCTTTTTTGGGTTTTGTTTTTTAAGCATTTCCCAGATGCAGTTTTTGCCCTCCCTCCCTCTTTTCCCCCACTTCTCCCTCCGCCAGTACACACCAGGCAGCCTGCTCACCTCTGGCCCACGGTAAGGTCTCCCATTGACGATCTCAGGAGATGCATAGAGCGGGCTCCCGCAAAACGTCTGCAAGAACTTGTCCTTCTGGTACAGGTTGGAAAGCCCAAAGTCAGCAATCTACAAAGAGAAGCAAGACCCAGGGAGACTTGTTAGCACTGCAGACTGTGTCTGCCATGGATCAGTTCACACCACGCAGCACGCAAAATAGAAATGGACTTTCTATTTTAACCTCAATTTAAACTTGCCCCGAGAAATAACATTCACAAAATTACCAACTTGATGTTTCTGATGAACGTTAAAGTATCCAACAAATTAACTTGGAAATTGTCCCTCTGTGGCCTACCCACAATCACATTGCATCCAGGGAGGTGTGCGTGTCACACTGCGGGAAACCCTGACCTTTGCAGTTGGTCTCACCACCTTTCTATCCACTCACACTCTGGTCAGAACAGTGTTGTGCCTGCCTGGTGACCCGAGATGAAAGGGACTCAGAGCACTGGGTTTTGAGTCATTATATTTCAGCCCCAACTCTGCCCCTAACCATCCGTGTGACACTGAGCAGATCCCTTAGCAACTTTGAGCCTAAATTTACCCACCAGAAAACGGGAATCCACGATCCTTCCCATGTTAGCTTACAGGATCATCGTGAGAATAATACGCAAAAAAAATTCAATCAAGATGAGACCATGAGTGCAAAAGTGCTTCATAATCTTCAAATTTCACACAAATGTTTTACCTAACTTTGCTTCTTTCATTGCATTGCACACTCCTTGCGATCCTTCTCTTCTCCTTTGGTTTCTTGAAGTGTTTTATTTACAATCCTTTATAGCAGCACTTTTACATATATGTGTATATGTACATGTACACACACATACATATATACACATGCATATACACATATATAATATATATATTTGCCTTCTCTACCAGACTCTGAGTCTCCTGAGGCAGCTGGCAGCTTCCACATCTTCCCCTTATCTTTGTATAATCCATTACTTAGCACCTGCCCACACTTGTCATGAGAAACACTTGTCACTAGACCAGACATTATATTTTGTTTTTGTTTGTTGGGGGTTTTTTCTGTGGGGGGAGGGACAGTCTCACTCTGTCGCCCTGGATAGAGTGCAGTGGTGTCATCTTAGCTCATTGCAACCTCAAACTCCTGTCTCAAGTGACTCTCCTGCTTCAGCCTCCTGAGTAGCTGGGACTACAGGCGATGCCACCACGTCCGGCTAGTTTTTCTACTTTTAGTAGAGGTGGGGTCTTGCTCTTGCTCAGACTGGTCTCGAACTCCTGAGCTCAAGCAATCCGCCGCCTTGGCCTCCCAGAGAGCTAGGATTACAGGTGTGCGCCACTACGCCCAGCCTAAGGCATAATATTTTGAAAAGCACAAGATAATGCAAAATAATAATAATAAACTTAGTTACCACTTATAGAACAACTTCCAATTATCAGGTAGTATTCTAGACACTTTACATTCTCTAATCCTATCAAAAACCTCATTTATAAGACAATGTAAATGTACTTCAGGCTGCTGAATGGGACACCTAAAAATAGTCAATTTTATGTTATGGATATTTTACCACAATTTAAAAAAAAAACATTTAACAAATGAGGAAACTGAGGTTTAGGGAGATGAGGTTACGCATCTGCGGAGATGTAACTAGTTAGGAATGTAAACCCCTGTGTCTCTGAAGCTTCAAGCCACCGCGCCACACTGCCCCTGGGGCCACCTGCGCATTTCATTCCAGTCTGAGCCAGCCTCGTAAGCTGAGCCCCTGTAGGTTTCTGGCCTTCCCCAAGCTGATTTCCATTTGAAGCTTTATAAATAGGCTGGACAATTCACATGCCCAGAGATCAGCCCAGCCTGAACGCCACCGCGCCCAGGCTCTGTTCTGAATGCAGCCCCTAGAATAAGCCTATTTTGTAAATCGTCCCTGAATGAATGGAATGTCATTGAAAGCAGCTGGTGTACAACCGCCCTCAGAAAACACATTCTCAGGGCTCAGATCGTACTTAATTGCCCTGAATTCCACTTTCTTATCAAGGCCCCTGACTGGCTCGCAGGAAGTTGGTTGGAAGCTTTATGAAGTGCGCCCCTTCAATCAGAAGAGGAATGGAACGGCTGCGCACAGGAAAATGCATTCCCTTCCCGCCCGGCAGCATCTGCGGTGACTGTGGCACCCTAGGAGCTTCCAAATACGCTTGTGTGTGTGTGTGTGAGAGAGAGAGAGAGAGAGAGAGGCACTCGCTGCATACAGACACACTCACGCTGGGAGTTCCCACTCCAAGTCCGGACAGTCCTGCCTGCTCCGTAGCCGCTCTGCAGAAGTGTGTTTATGTTATGGCCCACTCCCAGCCTCACAGACTGATGCTTATCAGCCTCTCCCAGTAAAGCTGTCATTGCCGCTGACACAAGATTAATCGAAATCTAGATTAGCCCATGTTCTTGGCACTTTAACGGAAAAGCAATATTAATCAACACATACTCTCACACACACACACACACATACATACACACACACACACACACACACACACACACTCAAACCTTCAGCCATTCAAACCTGGGCTTCCATCTAAGATTTAATGCCATATGGAGCTTATATCAGCTATTGATAAGAGGGGAAATGGCCACTGGTTCTGAAAACTCCCAGAAACCTCAGTTTCCTCATCTGTAAAACGGGGGTAGGAAGAGTATCTACACCCACAGTGCCACGGTGAAGATTAAATGACACAAAGTATGTAAAATGCTTACAACAGCGACGGCACAGAGTTGGAACTCAGAAAATATGTGCTTCCCACCTTTAAATCCAGAGTTAATTAACTTCATGATACTTGAAAAAGAGTTGATCCCAACACCAGGGACTCTCAACAGTGAAGAAACACAGAAGTTTTAGATGCCGAACAATAACAGAATTAGATAACTTTGAATCATGAAATGAGAAATTCATTCCTTTCTGGATTCTCTTTTAATCCAATTAAGTCTAGGAAAAGGTCTCAGTTGGGCACTGTTGTGTCTTTAGCATCTCTGCATTTATCAAAGAGATAATACGATAAATATGTGGCAATAACCAAGATCAATCTACAATTTAATGACACTATTTGGTTTTCATTATATTTATCTTTGACCTTATCTTCTATTCATGGTAAGTGATACCGGTTTTCCATTTAAGGTAATTGTTTAGGGCTTCCTTTTCAAACAGCTATCACTTTAAATAGTGGCTTGAACTAAATAAAAATAGTAATAAGTAAAATAGCAAAGATACGAGGGAAAGGCAAAATCCATGAAGAGAATGAAAGAAAAACTGAAATTTGGGGAATACTGATTTTAAACATACTAAAACAAAAATAATCACATCTTAGAATTGGTTTGATCTGAAACAGCCCTAAGAGATGCTAACCCTGCCCCTTGCTCTACAAGTGAAGCAGCTGAAGGTTCAAGGATGTCAGAAGCTTTGCTGAAGGTCACAAGGAAGAGCGACAAGTGCATACAGGAGCACTCCGGTCCACCCGAGCTGCACAGTCTCTCTGTAACAGAGCACCAGCTGTATACAAAGGCTGACTCTCCAGCAAGGAGGCAACCAGGCTTTGCTTCCAAACTGGTATTTTGCAGACACACAGGTAAGCTCTAGAGGAAGGGACCAGGTTGGCACTTTTGCTGGTTGTTTTGATGGTCCCCTGCCCGGTACTGGTTCCAAACCACCCTCTGTCCCTGCACTGGTAGGGCAGATGGACCAGAGTCAGTTCAGCCTCAAAAGTAAAAAGGAACTCAAGGCCCACATCCTTACTATCTGGAGTTTTTGTTGTTATCAAGCCTTTCTAGAAAATCAGAGGTAGAACGCTAAATTAGGAAGTGATTACTCACATTTCAAAAGGATTAACCTCACTGCAACACGGATGAAACCTGAAGACGTTATGCTAAATGAAATGAGCCAGACACGAAAGGACACATATTGTATGATTCCACGTACGTGAGATCCCTAGAGTAGTCAACATCATAGAGACAGAAAATAGAATGGTGACCGCCAGTGGCTTGGGGTGGGGGAGGGGGAACGGTGAGTAATTGTGCAATGGGTACCGAGTTTCAGCAGGGGAAGAGGAAAACATTCCAGAGATGGTTAGTGGCGACGGTTGCACAACAATGTGAATATGTTTAACGCCACTGAACTATACACCTAAGACTAAGTTTTATGTTACAGATATTTTGCCACCATCAAAAAAAGGATTAACCTCAGATCACTGTTAATAATGAACTCACCTAGCGAAAAATGAACTGTCAGCTTGCTGATATTAACCGCTAGGAAAGGATGCGGATGACAACGATAATAACCAGCACGACTGTCTGACAGTCGCCTGTAGTATCTGTGAGGAAGTGTCCTGCACTCCACACGTTAGAGGTTTTAGAGCCAGCAGAACCTGGGGCTAACCTTGGCCTTATTAGGTGATTGGTGGGAACTGCCAAGTCACTCACTTTCCTCATCCGCAAACTGGGACCTGGAACATAACCCACCTCAATACACATGCGAAGCTCCTGGAACAGTCCTGGTGCCAACTGACTCTGTAAATTACAGCCATTAGGATAAGGCTGATGGTTTGGCTGATTTGACCACGGTTTGCCACGCAAGGCAAACTTAGAACTGGAAGCACAAAGAGCATCACCTGAGAGCATCTCAGAAGGCAAACAGCCAGGAGACCCTATTGCTCATTTATAAACTAGGCCTGTCCAGTGTAAGAGGCCACGTCGTGTCATAGAAAAAGTAAGGGATTCAGGGTTGGTGTCCTTGAGTTCAAATTCCGACCTCCCCTCTCACCAGCACCTGACCTGAGGCCCTTTGGTTCATTCCTCCCCAGGGACCAGCACTACCAGCATCACCTGGGACTGTCTCAGAAACTGAGCCAATCAGGCCCCGCCCAAGGCCTGCTGAATCAGAATCCACATGATCTCAAGAGCCCCTGGGATTCACTTGCACCTTAGCAATTTGGAGCCCACATTTCTTCATCTGTAAAATGGGGCTGGTGATAATGCAACCGACCTGGAAGGGCCCGTAAGAAACCAAATGAATAGATGCAAGAAAAGTGCCTACCCCATGCCTAGCACATCACAGGCTTTCAAC